CGCCTTAGAAGATACCAGAGGTGTTACTCGTTTCGCGTTACCCAGTGGGCACCTGTGAACCAAAGTAACATTAGCCACGCCACACTGCCACAAACCCGTTCATAGGGTGGGCCACATTCACAGAGAAACATCCATGTGCAGAGCGGGATTGGAACCCGCAGGCATTGGCTTCGCTGTCAGGCGCACTAACCGCTCGACCACCTGGGCGGCATAGTGTTTCTAAGTAAATGCTAACCATTTAGTTTTGTTTAGATATCTTATCTAATTCGTTTAAGTCAGCTAGTAATTGAAATTAAAGCTTTTATATTCGACTTGTTTTCAAGAAAACTAGTTAAGTTAATTTGAAAATAATTTGCACACGGTCAATTTTAATTCTGCTAATTTGAAAAAAAGCTTTGCTCAAAACTAGTTGGCTCTAAACCAATGTCTAGCATTTTAAGAATACTATTTATATATATTTTTTTTACTGAAAATGCATATAATTAATTTTATTTATCTGAATCCTCAAATTTAAAATTAGTATAAAGACATTTTTTAAGCAGTGTATTTATTTATTTTTAATCTAATATTATTTTTCATGGTTTTTAAATCATTAATTATAGTATTTTACAAGTTATTGAGTATTTTAAGACATATGTAAAAGTGTTTTACTTCGCCATTGCATGTGCTGGTGTCCTGATCACATGGCAATCCTGTATCTATACATTTAGGACCATTCGTATTTGGCGAAACATCACCCTCGTTTGCTTGAGCAAATGCCGCTACAAATGGACCCTAGAAATGTAATATCGAAGATGAAATATTTTATGAATTATCTTTAAAAAGAAATCAGTTATTTTATCTAGTTATGACAGTTAAAGGGATACTTTTTCATTCATAGCTTATTTAACAGCAAGAACACGTGACGATTGAACATTCTAATTTATAAATGAAGTATTAAGAATGACAGTAAATAACGTTGCATATGTATATATATTTTTAATAATTATTAGTGTTGAGAATACGTCATTAACTAGTAATTCATTTTTTTTTAATTTTAGTGAAAATAATTGGAAATTGAAAATAAAATAACAAAATAACAGATCTAAAATATCAACAACCAAAAATGTGATAACGTACCAAACAAATGGTCATTTTTGAAAAAATTATACTTTTATTACTCCAAAAAATATTTAAAGGATCATTATTAAAAGTTGACTGGTTCAGATTTTTAAAAAAATACTTATTTAATTTTCAAAACTTCGAATAATATTATAATATATGGTTTCGAATCAAAGCAATTAAAAGTGTTATGACATACAAATTTTGAAGCAATTTAAATTTCGAATCATGCAGTCTATAAATCAATATATTCATTAAAGCCAATAGATAAAAAAAAACTTTGATTCCTATTTCGAGTTTTATATACTGAAAAGTTAGATTACAAAAGATTCAAAAGAATTAAACGCTTTGAAAATTGCCCTCATTTACAGGTTATGCAGTTTTGATGTAAATACCAAATGTTGTGCAAGTAAGCTTTGGTTTTACTCTCAAAACTTTTTTCAAAACAGTGAAGGTCAAATGAAACAGAACTATTATTTTGATAAGAAGTTTTTTTATGATTCTTAAAATTTATGTGTCCCACTTACTTTTCCAAGAAGAGCGTTTTGATTCATTTTCTTCTCAAAAAGCAAAGATGCATAACCCTTATTGTCACTACTAATCAAATCATTTGTGTTGTTCATACTGGTACAATGAACGGCGAACCAGCTGCAAAATAAAAGATCAAAAATCGAATCAATTATCTGTCAATTAATGCACCAATTATTTCCTCTTTAATCTTGATCAAGAATCACCTGATCGACATTAAATCTCATGTTAAAGAAATGCCATTTTATTTCTTCAATTGCCTTATTAAAAATAAAGAGTTAGTTCAATCATTTTAAAGCTCGTATTTATTATATCGTCAATAAAAACAGCAAAATTAAATTTAAAATTCTTATAAATCGTAAATTTGTCAAATTTAAATGTTAAAACTTTTAATAAATTTAATAATAAAATTTAGCATGGTTTTTCCGGTAAATAGTGTACTATATTATTATAAAAACTCGAAATTTTAACTAAATATTATTATTTTAAAAATGAATTTTTAACGAAATTGTATTAAGAAAATTTAAGAAAATATTTTTATATAATATTTTTAAGAACATAAATTAGTTATGAAAAATATTATTTAAATGCTAAAAATCATATTTTTCCTGGAATTATTAATAAAAAACATGCTTTGTTTACATTCAGATCAACGAAGTGGCTTTTACGAGGAATTTATTTACGTTTCAGTTTTATAATCGGTTAACAGTTAACTTAGCTACGTCACAAAATGAAAATTTGACTAGTTTTTCTTTTTTCATATGTCTTAATTTGAATATAATAAGTAAACCTGAATGACGGATAGACTAAATAAACTGATTTCCTGTCCCTGCAAAAAGGAAAAATTGATCGGCTGCAATCAGACCTTCACATTATCATTGCAAGACATTTACGTTATTCTTTTAAAGTATCATCGCCATCATTTGGTACAAATAAATTGAACAATTTCGTAACATTAATTGTAAGATACTAGTTCAACTATAAATTAAAAATACTTTATCCTAATTTGGTTGACATATTTCTGCAACAGCATGCCTACTATTCGTTTAAACGGAATATATGGTTTCTAAACTTAGATGGTAAAAAAGAACGATAACTCCAGGAGAGGCTGTTGTTGTGGGCAAACTTTTGCAACATCATAGCTATCGATTAGCTGAAAGAAAATGTGTGGCTCTTATGTCACATGGAAAGAAAGAAACTTAAAATTTCAGAAGATACTGGATGCAATTAAAATATTATTTTTGGAAAATCGAAGAAAACCTGCAGTTCAGCTAGTTTAAAGCGGAAAATCCTAATTCTGTTGTGAAAAAATATCATGCGAAAAAGTTCGATGTTTAGACCTAGCAAAAAAATCTAAACTGTTCAACACTGTAAATAATTCTGAATCAAATTCCGGTAAAAAGGTGCAGGTACTTACGGTAGGTAAAGGAATGGTGAAATGGATTTCATCGTCAAATCCAAGTTTACCTGAACATGTTAATGAACAAAAAATCTGATAAACCGTAATTTTTACAGTAACAATTACCGTAAAACCAATGAGCCACTCTAATTAAATAAATATTACTGTACTATTTACGGTATAATATATTACGGTAAAAATGACCGATGATGCACCCAAAGTGTCGTAATTTTATACCATAATTTACTTTACCACTTTATACCGTAATTTGATTTGGAATTGTTTTGGTCAACTAATTTGTATTAGAGATAACAATTTTTGTCAAACTAATTCAGATAGCAAAACTGGGAAAAATGGAATATAATGATAGATAAAAGTTCTTACTTGATCATGCCTATGGGTTTTCGATTAACGTCTGTGAATTTTAAAAGAGTCATCTTTGTATCAATGTTTGAGTCATACCTACAAAACAAGTTTTGTAAAAAAATCATAATTCATTTTAAAAAATAGAATACAATAAAAATAAAAAAAAATTTTAACTACTAAAAGGATTATTAACAAGAGAGAATTATGATAGAAGGAGAAATTTCTACTTGGTCAAGTTTATGGTGGCTTATCAACTATGTGGGAATTTTAATATTATCGGTGAAAATTAAAGAACCTTATCAAACTTTACTCAATCATCTAACAGCGGAAAGGTTGGTAAAAGATTTCTGAAAAGTGAATTCTTTGACAAAATTTCCCTACAAACTCACGTTAAACGTTATTTCCGAAATGTGAAAATCTTACAGACTTGAAAACGGGTTTGGTTTGATTGTAAATTTAAAACCATTTTTTATTCGACGTAAAAAAATATATTGTAAGTAAATAAAGTAACAAAGCATATTTATATCTAACGTTGATAAATGGCTTATAAAATAAATAACTTTAACACTACGCTTGACTACTTTTTTAAGCAATTTAATGATTTAGACAATACATAAATGTTACATTTTACCTAAGTCTTAAATTTTTTATTCCTAGTATCGTTGAACCCTAAACAATAAAAACTTAACGATAAATTTCAATATTATAAAATAATTAAAAGATATAGAAGTTAATAAATAGCTTTAATTAAACACAGAGTTAGCAAATTTTTTTACGAAACTTATGTCAATAATAACTATTTTTAGTCAAAGTGGATATTTTATTTCCTCGTTTAAACCTTAACTTCAAACACTTAACTCAATTCTGACTTTATCAATATGTTCAGAAATCAATAAATCGATCGGAATATATTTCAAAATTGCTCCACAGAATATATAAATTTTTTAATCAAATAGCGATTACATATGCACTGAGAAGCTCTCCCCCCCC